TCCCCCATAGGAAAGCATGGAGCTGTCAGATTTTGACAGGTCCATTGGTTCCTATGGGCTGGAAAAAAAAATTAACCATAAATTAACGAAAAGTCAGAGCAAAGCCAAATCAGGTTTGCACATGACTTAGGGGGTCCTCTAACGAATCCAAGCATTTAGAACCGTTTTTGACCCTTCTAAGACACTTTTTAAATTGAAAAAAGAAACATCGTTAAGTGAAGCAGGGGACCTAAAATCGCATTCGTTATGCAAAGCATGGTCCCAAACTTCGCTAAGCGAAAATCGCCCATAGGAAACATCGTTATACGGTGCATATTATTTTCTAAAAAACCACATCGTTATGCTAACTCATCGCTAAACGAGGCAATCGTTAAGCGAGGCACCACTGTATAACCATCAGTATGCCACCCCAACTCTCCTAGAAAGTAAAGTTAATTAAGAAATCTCTAACAATGGTGGGGGCACTTGAAGACCTTATGTGATCAGGAGACTATGGCAAGCTATTGTGGCAGTGCAGTATTTGGCCACTTTACTAGTAATGTAAGAAACCTTATCGGACAGCAGCAAAAGAATATAAAATTCATTGGATCTCCCTGGAAATTTTTGAAAAATTGGGGTGAGAAGATCCTTGCCAAGATCCTTGAGTGATAGAACTGACAGTATAAGATAACATCCCCTACTGTTTCTGCTTTGCCACCAACGCAAAGACATAAACGATCAGAATAGGGTGTGCCCTGAAATCTCCCTTTCAAGAGTTTAGAAGGTAAAAACATTAAATCTGGCTAAGGTAAATGCTCTTCTAGATTTAAGTTGTGTTGTACTGGTAATATAGGTGGGAAAATGTAATAGATCATATTGTATGGCACCTAAGCACTTCACCATATAATCATATTCACTTGGCAACAAAATATTTTTCCTTTCAATTCTTAAATGTAGTGCAGGGGTGTCTCTGCATAAAACAGTTTTTAAAAGATTCCATACCAAATGTGTAATGTTCAAAATAAACTCACCAAGTTAATTTGGACTGTTATTTCCCAGTTTTTTTCATTATTTACTCCAGCATTGTTAACCACAATATCTAACTGTCCAAAATGTTGCACTGTCTTCTGAAATGCATCTGTAAGTACATTAAATTTGACAATGATAACCAGAAGTATAGTTTTTGCTTTTATAAAACAAAAGAATGTAAGCTTATACTCATGTATGTGATTTCCCTGATTTTTCATTAAATTTACCTGTTTTCTTTTGTAATATTCAAATAATATTTAATGAATTAAGTGAGTACACCCCCTCACATTCCATAAATATTTTAGTATATATTTTCATATGACAACAATGAAGAAATGACACTTGGTTACAATGTAAAGCAGTGAGTATATAGTTTGTGCAACAGTGTAAATATGCTGTCCCCTCAAAATAACGCAACACACAGCCGTTAATGTCGAAACCGCTGGCAACAAAAGTGAGTACATCCCTAAGTGACAATGTCCAAATTAGGCACAAAGTATCAATATTCTGTGTGGCCACCATTATTTTCCAGCACTGCCTTAACCCTCTTGGGCATAGAGTTCACCAGAGCTTCACTGGTTGCCACTGGAGTCCTCTTCCACTCCTCCATGACAACATCACAGAGCTGGTGGATGCTAGAGACCTTGCACACCTCCACCTTCCATTTCAGGATGCTCCACAGATGCTTAATAGGGTTTAGGTCTGTAGACATGCTTAGCCAGTCCACTATCTTTACCCTCAGCTTCTTTAGCAAGGCAGTGGTCATTTTGGAGGTGTGTTTGGGGTCATTATCATGTTGGAATACTGCCATGTGGCCCAGCCTTCGAAGGGAGGGGATCATGCTCTGCTTCAGTACATGTTGGCGTTCATGGTTCCCTCAATGAACTGTAGCTCCCCAGTGCCAGCAGCACTCATGCAGCCCCACACCATGACATTCCCACCACCATGCTTGACTGTAGGCACAACACACTTATCTTTTTACTCCTCACCTGGTTACCACCACACACACTTGACACCATCTGAACCAAGTAAGTTTATCTTGGTCTCATTGGACCACAGGACATGGTTCCAGAAATCCATGTCCTTAGTCTGCTTATCTGCAGCAAACCGTATGTGAGCTTTCTTGTACATCATCTTTAGAAGAGGCTTCCTTCTGGAACAACAGCCCTGGAGACCAATTTGATGCAGTGTGTGATGTATGGTCTGAGCAATGACAGGCTGACCCCCACCGCACCCCTTCAACCTCTGCAGCAATGCTAGATATGATGTTGAGCATGGGCACTCAACTTCTTTGGTCAACCATGGCGAGGCCTGTTCTGAGTGAAACCTGTCCTGTTAAACTGCTGTGGACTTGGCTACCGTGCTGCAGCTCAGTTTCAGGGTTTTGGTAATATGCTTATAGCCTAGCCCATCTTTATGTAGAGAAACAATTCATTTTTTTTTCAGATCCTCAGATAGTTCATTACCATGAGGTGCCATGTGGAACTTCCAGTGACCAGTCTGAGAGAGTGAGAGCAATAACACCTTCTCTACCTTAACACCTGAGACTTGTGACACTAACGGGTCTCATGACACCAGGGAGGGAAAACTGCTGCTTGGGCGCAATTTGGACATTGTCACTTAGATGTTTACTCTCTTTTGTTGCCAGCGGTTTAGACATTAATGGCTGTGTGGTGCATTATTTTTAAGAGGACAACACATTTACACTGTTGCACAAGCTGAATACTCACTGCTTTACACTGTAGCCAAGTGCCATTACATCAGTGTTGCCACATGAAAAGATATACTAAAATATTTATGAAATGTGAGGGGGTGTACTCACTTCTGTGATATACTGTATGTATGTGAACTTCATGAAATTTTGAAAACCGACTCGTGATTTTATTTTTTGAAATGCCAGTCAAAATATCTGAAGTCTTAGTCTTGGCAAAGAAAGATCCATATTTAAGGCTTTGGGTTGTTGTTTTTAATCTACAGCCCTCATAAGTAACATCTAAAGGCATAAGAGTAACAAACACTCTGCAAATACATTTCCAACCTCTTCAGCCTAGAACACACTAGTAATATTTCATACTTTCAGATTTAGTATGCATTAAAGCCTACTTAGATGGAGGCTCTTAAAAAATCCTAGCCTCATGTTTTTAAACTCTACATCATGCTTTCCCTTAGATCTCTCTATGTTAAAACAGACTGAAGATGACATGAAAGTCCTTTTGAAAAATACACTCCTTCATTTACCTTTTAGCTTTTCTTCATCTGAAACATCACAGGGAACAAAGATGGTTCTCTGTGCATCAAACTGCTTGTCAAAGGCATCTTTGCTAACCTTACCTACTTCCTCATTCAAATCCACAAGAGCAACCTGGGCGAAAAGGAGATAATGATCAACCTTAAATCTTAGATTAATTTCACACAGTAACACAGAGAGACAAGAAATAATCACTCTGTCCTTTTCGTAGAAGAGGGGGAAAGGCTTGATAAGCAAACAGACTGCCTATATTTATGCAAACACATGTCATTACATGAAATAACAGATAGAAAATACATGTACATTTTGCATATGATCCAACTAATTTAAATATGTTTATACCTTCCCTGTTTAAAACAGAAAACTTAAGTGTTTAATATTTACAAAACTCAATGTTTAAAAGGCAATCATACATGATCAGAAGTACTCCTTAGTAAGCATGGTTAGTAATGCAGTTTTGTAAAAACACTGTATTTAGTTTCCCAGAATACCGTTTCCCTGAATACCGTTCAGTTTAGTGGAATTTCTGGGCAAATATGCATAACCTGAAATTGTGTTGCTTTGCACAGTAGGCTGCAATTAGTTTAGACCAGTGGTTCTTAACCTTTTTGAAAGAAACGCCCCCTTGAGCCATTGAGGAAGTTATTATCGCCCCCCCTCCCCGCGGTGATGGTATTTATTTATTTATTTATTTATTAGTTGCAAGCGAATTTTAAGATGCAAAAAGAAATATAAAAAGGGCATAAAAACAAACCGTAATGCAGAAACTAAAAATTTCAAGACGAAAACTCTGAAACTGAATTAAGATTGGAGGAAAATATATATTCATGCACATTGTAAAAAGGCTGCAACCATCTTCACAGGTTTGGCTTGCTCCCCCCTTGTGCTCCAGCGCCCTCACGCCGCCCCTTTTTGTTCTAACGCCCCCCTGAAAAATGAAATCGCCCCCCTGGGGGGCATTATCGCCCACGTTAAGAACCACTGGTTTAGACCTACCGAATCAATGGAACTTATAGAGGAGTTGACTCAGCAAATTCCCACTAAATTAATAGACTTACTCCACGATGACTTACTATATTGAGCAACAGGATTTCAGCCACTGAATTCACTATAAACGTATCCACATATAGATTTGTTTCTAAAGATACACATAAGCACACACCTTCCCCTCCACAGAATGATTCTTCTTATACTGTTATTTTCATACAAATAAGCATGAATATTGTTTAAAAACATGAACTGACACATTCATGGCATGTTTGTGCACTTGCAGATGCATATAGAGATGTGTGCATTCGAAAATACACATACCAACATTCTTCTTCAAAACCCAATTCTCTCTCTCTCACACACACACACACACACAGAGAGAGAGAGAGAGAGAGAGAGAGAGAGAGAGAGAGAGGAAAGCTGCGTCCCCCACGTCAGTTGGAGAAGGGAAGCCAATTGAGACAGTTGCAGTGTGAACAAAAAGGAGGAGCCAGGGTGCTACTACCCGCCCTGCGAAAAGCTCCTGTCAGCTCCCTCAGACGCAGGCGCCCAGGCAGGGACAAGGGCAGCGTCGTCCTGCCGGTGATCTTTGTGGCTGGGACCCTTCCCCGCCTCTCCACTTACCTTGCAGCCCTTTTCCAGCAGAGCTTGGGTGAAGGCTTTGCCTATGCCCTGCGCTGCCCCTGTGACCAGAGCCACCTTATCTTTCAAGTGCATTTCACGGCTGCTTTCTATATAGATAGATAGATATAGATTGATATAAAATTAAACCCACGAGAACTCGCTCGCTGGGTACCCCTGTCACTCTGGCCGCCTCTCCTCAGGCAACTAAGGACTTTCCTATCTATCACTCGCCTCCCGCTTCTAATCTCTCCCGCTTCTAATCTCTCCGCAGCCTCGGGGGGGTTGTGTGTTTCAAGAGGCGGGAAAGAGGAGACCGTCTAAGGTAAAAGAGAAAAAGGCACGCGCAAGGGCTGGGGAAGCCGAACTTGGTGTCACCTGCCCTGAAGTTGCTTCCCGCCCTTTGTCCCTCCCCTCCTCCACCTCCACCTCCACCCGCTTCCCCTTTTGGAGCGACTCTTTTTCCTCACTCGCTCTGAGCGATTACGGAGAGGAGGCAGCCGGCTGCCTGGTTGGTTGCCTCCGTGTTTTGTTTCTCTCGGAGCCCTTCCAACGACGCCGGAGGGGGGGGGCTCAGAGATAAAGGGGCGAAACGGGTGGCCGCCGGCAGTTAACATTATCTCTTTTCCCCAGCGAGCCCCCTTGAGGGAAAGGGAGTGGCGGCGAAAGGCACCTCCACCGACCCCTTTCTTGCCCTCTCCCCGCGTTTTGATAAGCAAACAAAAGCCTGAGCTATTCACATTCTAGGCTAAGGAGGGCAGGTTCCTGTTTTTTTTTTTAATCGTAAATTCTTCCTTTAAAATGTAGGGAAACAGCTTACCAAACTTATAAATAAATGGAAGCTCGCTCCCTCGGTCCCATTCTCTCTCAGTAGCCTTCCGAAGAATTACTCGCGTTTTCCTTGAGAGGAATACAGTATATGTGTTGACTCCAGAATTTCGAGGTGGAAACTTAGAACACGAAATGTCGGAGTTTAAGGGTAGGAGGAGGCCGTGAGGGCTTGCGACGTTTTCCCTCAGAAACCGTCAATGTCGGTGTGCACGCTTAGAAATACTCATTAATATTACTCATACCACCGTCAAAGCTTTCTTCACATTTGCAAGCCCAGACCTACAGAAGAAGACAGAAACCAAACTGGGGGAAGCAAGAACACGACGTACATGAAACAGAATGAAATCTGGGCGTTCAGTCCAGTTCGTTTTAGGTGAAAGGGCATTCCTATTTACAGAACAAAGATAAATTATTTCTTTCCGTGTAGTACAATGTTTATGATGCACAATCAATATCTTCAGTGGACAATTATAGGAATACACACAGAAGGTCGTTTGAATCATTTTCTAAGTGAAATTTATGTCTGGGATGCATAGTTATTTACCTCAAGGTATTTGTAGCTGTAAAGCTACAATCTTTGTCTTAGATCGCTGCATATCATGGCTATGAAAATCTGCCACGGATGCTACTGTGGAATGGGTGACCCACATCTAATATTAGGAAAACTAATGTGGCAACATATGACTTGAATAACTATAGAGTTATCTCAAATCTATTTCTGGGCAAGTTATTGAGAGGGTGGCAACTGATGAGTCGAAGATGTTGGAGGAAACAGTCTGGATCCATTTCAATCTGGATTCAGATCATGGCATGGTACAGAAACAACATTGGTCTCCTTGCAAGTTGATTCCCTAAGGGAGACAGACAAAGGGGTGTAACTCTATCAATCCTTTTGGATTTTTCTGCAGCCTTTGATACTGCTGACCATAGTATCTTTCTGTTAGGGATTGGGGGCCCCATTCGCAACTGGTTTTGGTCCTTCATGGTTTGCCAATCCAAGATGCTACAGCTTGGGGATGCCACCTCCCATCCCATGAAGACCTCTGCTATGGGGTCTTAGAGGGTTTGACTATCTCCCCAATGCTTTTAAACATCTACATGAAGCTGCTGGGAAAAGCCTTTCACAGATGTGGTAGATGTACTATTACCAATATGTTCACAACACACAGCTTTATCTGTCCTTTGATTCATCTGCAAGTGATGCTGTACAGGTACTTGTGCACTGTCTAGCGAGGGTGATGATGGATTGGGTAAAGACCAAGAAACTGAATCCAGAGAAGATGGAGATCCTACTGTTAGGAATTGTTGGACCAGTTAGAGGGAAACTTACCTGGCCTTGATGGGGTTACATTCTCCTTGAAGGTTTGGGCCAGCAGCTTGGCCTACTCTTGGATCTGTCACACTGTGGAGGCTCAAATATCAGCCATGACCTGGAATGTCTTTTATCAATTCTGGTTGGTTGCCAAGTTGCACCCTTACCTGGATAAGAAATGCCCAGCAACAATGATTCACACATTGGTAATCTCAAAACAGACAACTGTAATGCTCTCCACATAGGGCTGCCTTTGAAAACAATATACTAGAAACTTCAGCAGATTTCTGGGATTAGTAAATTCAACCATATATCCTCAATCTTGGTGTGCCTTTATTGTCTCCCTGTCAGTTTCTGTGCTCAATGCAAGGCACTGGTTATGACCTATAATGCCTCTAGTAGTTTAGGACCTTGATACTTGTAGGAGTATTTTCCCCAGAAATCAGCTGCCCATTTCACCTGCACCTCGCAATCGATGGTGCTAAAAGTGGCCACATTGAGGGAAGCCAGAAAGGTGAAGACAAGGAATTGAGTCTTTTCAGTGGTGCCCTCCAGTCTCAAGCATAGATTACTAGTGGAGTTACAACAGGGTCCTTCCCTCCTTTTGTTGAGGAAATTGTTGAAAATAACTATTCAAAGCTGCCTCCAACAACTGAGTTTCCCAAATGCTGTTATTATTGAAATTTTTCTTTTTCTTTTCTTATTTTCTCTTGGGATTTTTTAAGTATGATTTTTAAAATCAATGCATTGTTGTATGTATTCTTATGTGGTATTTGTGGGATTTTTAAGTTTCAACTTGTAAGCCATCCAGAGTAGTTGCCTTAATGGGGTGGTATATAAATCAAATAAATAAAATTGTTTGTTTTAATTCTTGGTTTTATATTGCTCGGACTGTAACTGTAAGCTGCCCAGAATAGATTTGTTTAGAATCTAGATGGGCAAGGTAAAAGCCAAATGAATGTATGAATGAATGAATGAATGAATGAATGAATGAATGAATGAATGAATGAATGAATGAATGAATGAATGAATGAATGAATGAATGAATGAATGAATGAATAAATAAATAAATAAATAAATAAATAAGATATTTATGCCACTGAACAATTGAAGAAACCTCTCTATGACTTTTGTAATAGTGCCAGGTCAGGTTTCCAGATCATTAAGGAATAAACATATTAGCTTTTTCTATCTTCGAAAGTTTTTCAAATCTAAGTAACAGTTGCTATCCTAATTTAGAAATTTATTGAGATTTCATGGCATTTATAACATTATTTTAAATTATACAGTGCCTGCAGTATAACCACTATTTCAGGATACAATACATTTCAGATCAATAGGACATTAGTAATTATATCAGCATTTAGAGACATAATACTGTGGAGCTGTAAATCTCTCAAATACCTTGCTGTGTGACACATTTTCTGTTTTACTGATATAATAATTGTTGCCATCAAGTCAATTCTCAGTTATAGTAACCCTTTCCAGGGTTTTCTAGGTATTGAGTATTCATAAGTGGTTTACCATTCTTTCTTCTGGGAATGCTCTGGAATTGTGCAGCTTGCCCAAGACTCCACAGGCCATCTCTTCTCTTGGGAAAATAGGGATATTGAATCTGTTCATTGAATCTGTTGTGGATAAATTAGTAACACTTGAAAATATATGACATTACACTAGATCAGTGGTTTTTAACCTTTTTGAAAGAAACACCCCCTTGAACCACTGAGGAAGTTATCATCACCCCCCCTCCCCGCGGTGATGATATCCTATTTATTTATTTATTTATTTATTTATTTATTTATTTATTTATTTATTTATTTATTGGACTTATATACCGCCCCATAGCGCT